GGTCGCGTTTCCGATCCGGTGGTAGATTCTGCGAAGCACGGCTCTTGCTAGGGTTCGTGTTAGCAACATCGTCAGGTTTGAGCCCCGTGAGCTCACCTACTAAAGTTAGGGTTACGCTGACATAGCCGCTAGGGCTATCAGCTTAGGTAGGAGAGAAAAAAAAAAAAAAAGCTGACTCCGACCGGGAATCAAACTTGTATTGTGAAGTACAGCAGTCGGGGTTTTTATCAACTGTTTACTACAAGCAACGATCGAAATTCGTCCCTAAGTACTATTACCCCAAGATTTAAATTTATTTTATATAATACCACATTTTGTTTTTGACATTCTGAAGACAATAAAGCTGACTATTTTTTATTACTAACACCAATGTTGGTAATTACTCCTAAAAATTATAAATCGATTGTCAAACAGATGATAAGATCATCATACCGTACTATATTGTTTCTGTTTAATTTAAAAAAAAAAAATTATTAGGCACACTATACACATTAAAAATAACAAGTAAAAAAAACTGGCTTACAACATAAGCCATGTGCGCCCGACTAAACAATACATATAATAATACAGATAATACCTGTACTACATATATGTACATAAGTACTCGAAAATGTTAGTGTTGATTTCTTATTTATTGCCAATGTAGGCAGACGGGCATACGGCCCACCTGATGGTGAGTTACCATCGTCCATAGACTGCAGCAATGCCAGGGACAGAGCCACGCCGCTGCCCACCATTAAGTACTCTCCACAAGCCTCTTATGAAAAAATACATGTCATAGCGCTCAGGAAAGACCTTGGAAGGGCCTTATTCCAATGCCGGATGGTTTATTAACAACGTATCAATTTTTCTAAGCGCACTTTCCGTAATAAAAAACAAACATCATATAATCAAGCGGGAAACAGGTAGATATCAATTATCCTACTAATTTCTTAAGTTAATCTTCATTCAAATCGATTGAGCAAAGCCACCGCCTTTTTTTATTTTTTTTTATTGCTTAGATGGTTGGACGAGCTCACAGCCCACCTGGTGTTAAGTGGTTACTGGAGCCCATAGACATCTACAATGTAAATGCGCCACCCACCTTGAGATATAAGTTCTAAGGTCTCAGTATAGTTACAACGGCTGCCCCACCCTTCAAACCGAAACGCATTACTGCTTCACGGCAGAAATAGGCGGGGTGGTGGTACCTACCCGTGCGGACTCACAAGNACCTGGTGTTAAGTGGTTACTGGAGCCCATAGACATCTACAATGTAAATGCGCCACCCACCTTGAGATATAAGTTCTAAGGTCTCAGTATAGTTACAACGGCTGCCCCACCCTTCAAACCGAAACGCATTACTGCTTCACGGCAGAAATAGGCGGGGTGGTGGTACCTACCCGTGCGGACTCACAAGAGGTCCTACCACCAGTAATTGAGACATAAAGCGAGAGAAAAAGACCTTTCCGAACTAAATCACGAACAGCGATACCGGAACAACACATTAAGAGAATAAAATATACCCCATACAAAAAATCCAAAGCGATATAAATTAATCAGAGTTCGTTATGTTGTAACAAGTTCACGTAAACGGCTTACCGACCTTTTGCGTAACTACACGGATAAGATTTTATTGTTTTGGGGTTCAACGTTCTATCTGTCAACAGATTCATGGGCATAATTCTTTTTTTATTGAATTTAAAATGCTAAATGATAGTAATAATACGGTTCAGTTCTTCAGTGTTCGCGAGTCATAGACATAATTAAAACGGCTTCTACCGTTTAATATTTTAGGAATCAAGGACAATGGTCTTTCTACGGTGATATTGCTCGGTGGGCCGATGGTCCAAATGCTTTTTATTTATTTTTTGCCTGCCTATTCTAGTAGCCTCGAGGTGTTATACTAGATTCACCGAGTGAGTAGGCGAGCACTCGAGACTCAGACTGGCGAATTTATTAACACTAGCCCTAGCAAGAGCAGTGCTTCGCAGAATCTACTGCCTACCACCGTATTGGAACCGGTTAAGTCTAACCTATGCGAGTGTGATATTCGCGGTGGCACCAAATTAGACTCCCTCGTCAAAAAACTATCACTTTCTTAAGTTATCCGTCGCACCACCGTGGTTCCTATCTACATATGTGAGAAATGTAAGCACAACGATTTTTAGTCACGAACCAGTCCGTAAGTAAATGATCGAAAGTACCTAAATAGCGTCCGTTCGCTTTTTCATTATAACAATAGTTGACATACCTACGTGGCTTACTTGTCCTGAGCGACGTCAGAAAACTATAAACGGTGTTTTTTTACCGAAACATATACTAGGTACTACTGAGCTGGCACTATGACCCCGAAGTGGGTCTTGGCCTCCGACAATAAACTTTGCCATTCATCCCGGCGCTGCGCAACACCTTGCTAGTCCGACACTTGGACTTCACGTAGGTATATTTCCTTCCACAACGTCAGACCTTGGGCCTCCCTACGGGGCGGCGTCCCTACGGTACACCCGCGTACATCCGTTTCACAGCCCGATCCTGCTCCATACGCACTACATTCCCGGGCCATCCGAGTCTTAGAATATTTGGCTCACCAATCGATCATCTCGCACTAATATTTTTCAAATCATGACATTAAATAGGAACATTTAAAGTTTAAATTTCTTTTTATTTTTATTTATTTATTTATTTTATTAGGCTCACAACACACATCACAAGCTAAAGATACACAAAAAACACAAATAAAAAGAAACAAAATCTGGCTTGCAACATAAGACATGTGCGCACGACAAAACAAGACATATAGTGCTGAATTTATATAACAATGTTCCTTACAATTATGACAAAACAACACAATAACAAAAACTAATCTAATGAATAATGTAAGGAAAAAAAAAAAAAACAATATAATACATTAAACAATTACATTAACCTACCTATTAATAAAGTGGAGGATGCCCTTGAACATTTTTCTAAACGTAACTAACCTACAAGTAAAAATAACAAAATTTAAAAAATAAAAATAATAAAATTTCCACGTTCTTGTTTTTCTAGATGCGCCAAGAACCGTCATCTTTCGCTCAGTCACGAGAGGCTTTGTCTCTTATATGAAATATAAACTTGCCAAAAAGTCAAGTATTTGTGATGAGCTTATACGTCACTTGGGATCCTCCCGATCCACTATCGGTGTTTTTAGGCATTCCAATCACCGATCACCTTTCTCGTCGAGCCCATCGAGAGCGACGAAAGGTTCGTCGTGAAAAACAACTCACAGACACAGCTCACTGAGTTTCTCGTCGAATCTTTTCAGGCGATTCCGATCCAATAGTAGATTCAACGAAGCACTGCTCTTTCTACGGCTGATGTTAGCAAAGTCGCCAGGCTGAGCCCCGTGAGCTCGCCTAACACCTGCTGAAGCTAGCATAGTTCTAGGTTACTAGCCATAGGTAAGCAATGAAAAAATTAATATTGTTTCTTTTCTGACTTCCATGGAGCGCGTGATAGCCTCGCGACAAAAACCGGCAAGTTAGTTATACCCACCTGGGTGGGCTCAGAGCTACAGCTTATCACCATTAAATTAATTCATTTTATTATAAAAAATTGTTAGTTAACTCATTGATATGCCACATGGAAAATTTTCGGTCAGATTTTACTTTTTATTCCAGATAGCGCTCGGACAATCAGAATTAAGCAGAGTGCACAATATTTAAGGAATGGTATTATTTGTTAGTTAGCATATTATTTGCCCCATGATTTTTTTTAAACGAGTAAATTTTGAACAGGTTTTGATTCGTTTATATTCGTTAGTAACGAAATATTCTTCACATGCATGTGAGTGCAACAATTTGGTTGGTTTTTTTTTCTTTTTTTTTCCTACCTAAGCTGATGGTCTTGAGAGACTATATCAGCCTAACCGGATAAGTAGGTGAGCTCACGGCGCTCAAACCTGACGTTGTTGCTAACACGAACCCTAGCAATAACCGTGCTTCGTAGAATCTACCACCGGATCGGAAACGCGACCCACTGAGAAGATTCGGCGAGAACCTCAGTGAGCTGGTTAGTTTTTAATACCGCTATAGTCCACTGCAGCCCACAGAAGAACATCAGCAATCGGGGTCACGCATCCCTAGCACGGCAGCCTAGACACGTAGAATACTCACGACAATGAACGTAACGCTCGAACTAAAAATCTATTCTGCATACTTTCAACAGCATTTCTTTGGCTCTTCTTCTTATATGAATATATACAAGTTTCGAATACCTACGCAACATTGATTCGCCGACCAAAAACACTCACTTCATAAAAGATCATCCTTTTTTCGTTCTCCACTAAAGTGGGCGGTGAAATTATAACGATTTGAAAGCGTATGTAAAGGCCTACATGGATATGAAAGCATTTTGATTAGATTTGAAACAACTTCTTTTTTACCCTTTTTTCCCCCTGGGCAATGACGGGACAAATGGTGCGGAGCCATATAAGGGTTATGTGTAGTACCTACAACTGATTTTTATAAATTTGTGACATTTATATATAGGTGTGCGTGGTTTATTCCTAGTTATTAATTAATATAAATTATTATATTTTTAAAGTCTAAAACCGTTCTCAATTAAAAATCACCGAAAGCCCCTGCCATTTTTTTTTAAATAAACCTGCAATAATTGAATTGTGAGATTAAATTGTCACTGACAAAAAATAACCTTTGAGAATTTATCCTTTATTCAAGAAAATCTTAGTTATTAAAAAAATCGTCGAATTAAATTCTGTTTATCGAATGTAAAACAGACTTTATGTATCGTGACGCAAATGCGTTTAAGGGTATCTGTAATTTATGAGATCAAATTCTTAGACTTATCGTATCGTGTTAACGTAACAATTTACCAATGTTTACTCGTACCTACTAATAATTTAATAATAATTTCAATATAAACAGGCCGGCTGTTAAATAAGATATCACAAATAATATAATGTCAAACAAATTTATCTCAGTTTATCATATTCCTGCTCTGAAGCGAGCACCGCAAACATGTTCGCTTTGAAACGGTTTCAAAGCTGCCGTTTTAAATTTATACCGAAAATAATCGCGACACAAATTCATAGTCACAGTGCTCTACTTAAATATACAAATGAAGACCATTTAAAACTTAACATCAAAGGAAATGATCTCAAGTTTCCTTTTGTTTGGCTTCGAGACAACTGTCAGTGCGACCAGTGCTTCCACAGAACCGCGAAGAGCAGGATCCTGGATTGGACAAAATTCGACATCAACATCAAGCCAGCAAACGTGGCCCAAGGCGAAAACTCGCTCCAAGTGACCTGGAGTGATGAGCATAAATCAAGTTACGAGTTCGACTGGCTAAAATTCAGGAGCTTCACCCCTGAAAACCAAAAAACATACAAGGACACGATCTTCAGACCGAAAAGGATAACTTGGCATGGTGATGATTTTGAAAACATTTTTAGCAAACACGATTACAATGATATTGTAAAGTCTGACGAGGCTCTATACAATTGGTTACACCAACTTTCGATTTACGGTGTGGCTCTCATACAGAATACGCCTGCTTCAGAGACAGCTGTGGATAAAATCGTTGACAAGATCGGCTTCACAAAACGAACGCATTATGGAATCAAATTCATAGTCCAGCACGTGGCCAACACTAGCAACGTCGCATACCTGTCCAGCAATTTACAAATGCATACTGATCTACCTTACTACGAATACTGCCCCGGTGTAAACTTATTACACTGTCTAGTTCAAACGGCGAGCAGGGGTGGTGAGAATTTGCTGGTTGATTGTCATTACGTAGCAAATTACATGAAGGAAAACCACCCGGATGAGTATAAAATTTTGACTGACACCGAGGTCGAATGGAACGATATTGGCGAGGAGGATGGAAACGAATTCTACAAACTGAACCGAAGCCCTGTTATCAGCCTTGACAAGCACGGAGAAATAACAAAAATAAATTTCTCTGTAGCTCAGAGGAGCAGCAATCTCCCCGCTCCTTATGAGTCTGTCATACCTTGGTACAAATCTTATGCGCTCTTCCATAACCTTGGTCGAAAGTTCGCAGCGAAATACAAGACACAGGATGGAGATATTTTGGTCTTCGACAATAGAAGGCTACTGCATTCGAGAAGTGCTTATGAAGACAATTCAAACAACGTAAGAAAATTAATAGGTGCCTATGTTGATTGGGACGAAATATACTCGAGATTGCGATGCTTAACAGTTAAATTAAAATATGTCGATGGAATTTTTCAATCAAATCATAGAGGATAAAATGTTATGTTATGTAACATAGAGTAAGAATGTACTATTATAAATATTATTACTAAAACAAATATACTCTTTTTTTTATTATAAACAGTAGGTACAGATAGTACTTTGATTCCGATTATGTTCTATTTTATTCATAATGGTAGATATATTTTAGCTATAGCTATAGGCTGCTTGGTCTTGATACTTCTTTAACGTGCATTAATTTTCTGTGAATAAATTTGACAAATATTTCTATACTGTCTCAGGCAAGTAATATATCGTTGCTGACCTCATAAATTATGCTAAGTACACAATTTATTCATCAGGTTATTAGATATGTAAACATTACAATTGTTATTTGACCATATTTCAAAACTTGGAGCGCATTTCGGTAAAATGGAAATAGTTGCCATATACCATTCCTTAAATAAAGGATATTTACTGTCTCTACCACTCTGGTGTTGTTGATGTCCATGAGCTACGTGAACCACATGCCATCTCTACAATGTTTCTATCGCTCGGCTATCTTCTTCCGTTTTATTTTATTGCTTAGATCGGTGGACGAGCTCACAGCCCACCTGGTATTAGTGGTTACTGGAGGCCATAGACATCTACGACGTAAATGCGCCACCCACCTTGAGATATAAGTTCTAAGTTTTGAAGTATAGTTACAACGGCTGCCCTACCTTTCAAACCGAAACGCATTACTGCTTCACGACAAAAATAGGCAGGGTGGTAGTACCTACACGTGCAGACTCACAAGAGGTCCTACCACCAGTATTAACACAAATTATAATTTTGCAGGTTCCATTTTTATTACACAATGCTATTCCTTCACCGTGAACTCAAAAAATTGGTACCGGCCTGGGATTCGAACACTGGTACATCGCTCAACACGAATGCACTGGACGTCTTAACCTTTAGGCCACGCTAACTTTTTATTCCCTACCCATTCGCTGGTAGCCTAAGGGGCTATTCCAGTTATCAACTACCTCGTTGGCGCTCTCGTTTCTAACTCCAACCTTTGGTCCCCAGGATCGGGAACGTAGTTACCGGCGGCCACGATGAGAGGGTTCTCGTGTCGTGCCGCTTTTTCGAAATGGCGCACTGATGTGTGATTTGCAGGGGTTTAAATTAGTGCGGGGAACGTGAGCGACCACTACGCTTACATAGGTCATGACCGGGCGTATGCAAGTTTTGTAGAGTGTCACCTTAATGCGAAGGTACAATTTACTTCGCTTGCAGATCATCGAATAGAGGCTTCATAGTATGAACGCGGGTCAGTCGCGTACCAACTTAATGTGGAGGTGGAATGTGATTCCTCTGTCGAAGGTGACGCCTAGGTATTTGATCTTCGGGGCTCACGATGTGGGCTGGCCGAATAATGATGGGGCGAATGGTAAAGGTGTTTACGCGCCTATCTGGGAGTGGACTGTTCGAAGTGGTATTTGGAGGGCGACCCCTTTTGAAGAGCACCGCTGGGCTTTTCTTGGGGTTGGTGCCATAACCACTTTCCCATGGTGGTTGCTGCGGTCGCCGGTGCAATAACGACTTCTTCGTACACGAGTAGTAGATAGCCGTGTTATCGCCGAAGAGCGCTAGATGGGTCTCCGGAGACCGGGGCATTTCATTGATATACAAACTAAACAGTAACGGGGAGAGCGCGGAGCCTTGCGGGACTCTGGCTGTTAGGTGACGGGGGCGAGAACGAGCTCCCTCAACTCGATATCGGATCGATGCACACGACCTAAATCAAATGACACCGATACCCATCGGGCACGGGCTGGAAATACGCCCAACTACCAGGTTTACATTACATGAGGTGCATCTGTGCATTAGTGCATTAGTGTTATCTCGTCTCGTATTTATTACTTTCCATACGCCCACCTTTTTAGAGCTGCTATCTGTAGTTCAGTATAATTAAATGCAATCTCTATGTTTAACTATGCGGTAAGTAAAAATAGATTATCATAATTATCAACATTTGAGGCATGGAATATGCAGTAAAACGTTTTAAATCGTAATTGTTTCTAATTTAACATTGAAAAAAGGCCGATTTATTCTAAAATTAATTGCCTTTAATTATTGTTCTATAAATCTAAAACTATGGTTTTATATAAAAAATAGAGAGAGATACCACAATAAAACCAATAATAAACGACAAATAAATTCGTAAGCGATTTTTCAAAAAGTTGATCCTTTAGGTACGTTTCAAGAATTAATTACATCCAAAACTAATTAATTAGGTACATCTAGAAGAACTGATAAAATTATAATAATACGAAACTTATCAGTCACGTTACACAATTTTACCAGTTTTTTTGAGTAAAAAAAGGCCGAAGATTAATTACGTAGGTACCTACCTTATTAGTAAAAAAAAAACAATGCTTATCAATGGAACCGAAATATGCGTGATTTCGGAAACAGATCTTCCCAAGAGTCAAGGTCTCTACTCGTTTATCTTTACAACAGTGTTAAATTGATAGCCCATTACACAATTAAACTTGAAAGTTAATAAACGCTGAAACATAAACAAGAATCGTTTAAAACTAATTGCAAACTTGTTGCAAACAATGTTAAGAAATTTTACGTTAACAAATGTTACGGAAAGGGAAATTTATCTCAGAGATCATAATCCTATGTAATGTTTGTTAAGCTTGCAATACATGTTGGCCGAGCTTAGGTCAAGGCAAATTAATACAATGCAAGTGCTACTGCCTACACGTTCGGCAAGTTTACCGAAAACCAATGCAAATGGCCAATATAGACAAATTTTGAAAAGGTGCCCACGTTGGGCTCCTTCAGTTGAGAGAAATATATTAAGTGTATAATCTATGGTTGAGAGTTTGAGAGTGACATTTTGTACGCGTACACACGACCAACGCCAATCACGTAATGGCGCGCTGACAAACATGTAGACAGTACTACTGGCCAAATGCGCGCGAGCGCCTTTGATTTGTGCAGAAAAACCGACAGCGCTCCGAAGTGCGGCAAGTGGTCGCGAGGGACCGCAAGTTGTGGCAAGCTACGCCAAATGAGTTCTACACACGTTGGCGCTTGACTTTGCTCGGCCAACTAGGCGAGCGACTCCGAGCGATGGCAAGACAATGCAAATATACTGTATATACGTTGGTATTGGCGTTCACTCGGCAACGCTCGGCCAACATGTATTGCAGGCTTTGATGTTGAATGTTAAAATAGTCACGGGCGAATAATTAAATACACGCAAGGCATGTAACTTACGCATGGCAGACATAAACATCATAACCATCTTCCTTGCCCTTTCCCGTTATCAGTGGTGCATTATGAAATACGAATTTGTGTATTATTACACAATGTTATTCCTTCACCATGGAAGTCAATCGTGAACATTTGTTGAGTACGTATTTCATTAGAAAAATTGGTACCCGCTAGCGGGATTCGAACACCAGTGCAGTGCTCAACACGAACGCACCGGACGTCTTATCTTTTAGGCCACGACAACTTAATAAAAAACCCTTTACAAAACAATTGAGTCTTGGACCTTAAGTCTCAACTGGGCAACCTTCAGTTTGTAATGGGCACCAGTATCTATTTAGTGCTGAGTAGTCAGTAAATATTTAACATACAATGTGCCATTACACAATATAAAATAATTTGTTTTAAATGGGTTACAATCTTTTTTTTAAATAAAAGAAATATTTTAGTCCATCATTATGATATAGGTTTACAAGGGACATTTATATTAATTCAAATTGATCATTAGTATCCAGTGAATATTTAAAGTTCTATTTATAAACACTTAAAAAAAATATATAAAATAAAACAGTGATTTGTTTAATACTACAAAATTTAGGTCATATAAATTCTATATAGGTATCAATGTTGTGATTTCTTATTGTTAACCTTCTTATCGGTATTATAGTTTCAGCTTCCTTCTGTTTGAAGTCTACTTCCACTAGTGGAAATTCTTCTAAATCTGGGTTTGTTGAAATATTCACTACAGTCGACTCATTAGTGTGTATGAAAATTGTGAAACTTTTATTCTCAGGCAAATTAACAAACCTATGTACCATAGAGGACAGTTTTAAACAAAAAGCACGCAAATTTTGTTCACAATTAATCAAATATGCATCTGAAGTGTCATCAAATGTGAAGTTCTTTTCAAAATCAAATACGAATTTTATCAAGGGCTTGTATTCTTCGTCGGTTGTCGCAAATTCAATTCGTTGCATTGTATCTGATTTGAGACATTCAGCAATGCTTTTGAGACACATATCGATGTATCTATTTACTTCTGGATGAAAACAGTGGTAAACCACAAAGTTGTATTTCCTTCGCATTTCAAATATATTTTCATGGTATATTCGTGTGTAGAACAGTATGCTGTGAAAGGCTACTGCTAGAAATTCTAGTGTAACATCCACGAAACACGGATCCATATTTTAAACATTTTCTGCATCTAATAACTGTTGTATTCTACTTATTTACATCTTTTTAATTATAGCATTTTTTTGATAGCCAGTGAAAGTTAGTTTATAAGATATGTTCCTTGGTTAAATTTCCTTTTATTATGTCTTTTAATATTTTCAATTTAACAGTGTTTTGAATAACTGGGGTAAATAATGTAAATATTATGACTATTTTAATTTAACAAACTTTTCTTTATAGGACTTAATATGCCATCAAACCAAAATAATCTCGATACAAATTCTTTGACAATGTCACTGTCATCATATAGTAGTAGTAGTTTTTATTTTATTTTTCCAATTGAAAAGGTAAAAGTCTCATACTAAACAGCTTATATTTTTTATCATTTTTTTTATACGAAAAATGATATTATGAGATGTAATGAGATGAAATAAAATCTCAGTAAAATGGTGGTAATTTACTGAGACTTTTTCAGTGGACCTTTTGGAGGATCCCGAGAAGTTACGTTCAGCGGCTTTGTTTCATTTTCCCACATTTGTACACTTTCACATATACTAAACAGTTAATAAACCACCNCACTACAGTCGACTCATTAGTGTGTATGAAAATTGTGAAACTTTTATTCTCAGGCAAATTAACAAACCTATGTACCATAGAGGACAGTTTTAAACAAAAAGCACGCAAATTTTGTTCACAATTAATCAAATATGCATCTGAAGTGTCATCAAATGTGAAGTTCTTTTCAAAATCAAATACGAATTTTATCAAGGGCTTGTATTCTTCGTCGGTTGTCGCAAATTCAATTCGTTGCATTGTATCTGATTTGAGACATTCAGCAATGCTTTTGAGACACATATCGATGTATCTATTTACTTCTGGATGAAAACAGTGGTAAACCACAAAGTTGTATTTCCTTCGCATTTCAAATATATTTTCATGGTATATTCGTGTGTAGAACAGTATGCTGTGAAAGGCTACTGCTAGAAATTCTAGTGTAACATCCACGAAACACGGATCCATATTTTAAACATTTTCTGCATCTAATAACTGTTGTATTCTACTTATTTACATCTTTTTAATTATAGCATTTTTTTGATAGCCAGTGAAAGTTAGTTTATAAGATATGTTCCTTGGTTAAATTTCCTTTTATTATGTCTTTTAATATTTTCAATTTAACAGTGTTTTGAATAACTGGGGTAAATAATGTAAATATTATGACTATTTTAATTTAACAAACTTTTCTTTATAGGACTTAATATGCCATCAAACCAAAATAATCTCGATACAAATTCTTTGACAATGTCACTGTCATCATATAGTAGTAGTAGTTTTTATTTTATTTTTCCAATTGAAAAGGTAAAAGTCTCATACTAAACAGCTTATATTTTTTATCATTTTTTTTATACGAAAAATGATATTATGAGATGTAATGAGATGAAATAAAATCTCAGTAAAATGGTGGTAATTTACTGAGACTTTTTCAGTGGACCTTTTGGAGGATCCCGAGAAGTTACGTTCAGCGGCTTTGTTTCATTTTCCCACATTTGTACACTTTCACATATACTAAACAGTTAATAAACCACCATTATTACACATTTAAGCCAGAAGAAACACTAAATAGACAAAATAAAACAAATCACACAACTTCACTCCTTGCGTTCCCGCCTAACTATCGAGGGTAGAGGTAAGGAAAACCGTCTCATATGGGAGAAGCTTGAAAAAGTGTCCCACTTTCAACACTAAATAACAGTTCAAAACTCCTCCAGAATGGCGTTAGCATAGGCACAGGGTATGATATGAATTGAGCAGTTGTTAACTGATTGAAGTATGCTAAGTAAGAAAACTTAATATATTTAACTACACTAGTTACAGTGCTAGACTACAGTAGTTACAGTGTAGTATAAAAGACCTCACATGTTTACGTAGACCAAATTAATTTTGTCAATATAACCTAAAATTATTGCTGTGGTAAAACGTGGAGACATCGATTGCATTTTCATATTAGCTTTAAAAAAAATACTTTTTGTGACTTTGTAGTGCTTACAGTTCTTTCGTCTTTTTTTATTTCTCTATTTTATTCTAATAGCTTACAGCGCCTCTTTTAAAATTTACCCGGATGCTACTGTAGCGCCACCCTTATTTAGGAAATTTTAACGGACACTTTTTCACACACAGAGACTGTTCTCTTTACCTTTATTTTCATTATATTTTCTCATTCTTTTCTATCAGTCTATTATTCAAATTTAAATGTGCCATTATGGTGGTTATTTGGTGGTTTATTCACTAATTAGTATCTGTGAAAGTACACAAATATATGAAATTTAAACAAAGCCGCTGGTCGAAGTTCCTCTGGAAAAGGTCACTGAAAAGGTTTCAGTAAATGACCAGTGTTTTTCTGAAACTATATTTCACCCCATATTATTTTGTTTCGTTTAATTTCATCTCGATCGATTAATAACTTTCTTTTTATTTATTACTTAGATGGATGGACGAGCTCAAGGTCTATCTAATGTTAAATGGTTACCGGAGCCTGTACACGCTTACAACGTAAATTGCCGCCACCCAATACCACCCACCTTGAAACATGAGTTATAAGATCTGTTTTTCAAATACAATTTCACTCAATAGATGTGTAACTAGCTTGTAAAACAGATAAAATAACTAGCAAAATCTACATGTTTGTGAGATATAAAATATGTTTTGATTAAATATTTGATATCTTTATTATGTACCACAAAGAGTACACGCGGCTAGTGAAAATAATTCACACTGAAAAACTAGGAAGGGTAGTTCGAGAAGTTTCGAGGTTATTGCTCTGTGATAAGAAATTGATTAAATAAACCACTATTTATACCTAACGAGTATGTTTTTTTTTTTAACTAATACATTTTTGTGGTTCCACTTCGCAGCTGCCTACCACCCCATAGCAACAACACAGTTCGATGACACGGCGTTAAGTGCCCCAAAGAAAATTCTATAGTAACACATATCAAGCATTATCTTGGGTATCATAAAGTCCCAAACGGTGGACATGCTTTATAGAGTATCTACATTTTTTTTTTATTGCTTAGTTGGGTGAACGAGCTCACAGCCCACCTGGTGTTAAGTGGTTACTGGAGCCCATAGACATCCACAACGCCCACCTTGAGATATAAGTTCTAAGGTCTCAAGTATAGTTACAACGGCTGCCCCACCCTTCAAACCGAAACGCATTACTGCTTCACGGCAGAAATAGGCAGGGTGGTGGTACCCACCCGCGCGGACTCACAAGAGGTCCTACCACCACCTACATACATAAATACATACAAAAAAGAATAGGTCCTAGTAGTATAAGCAAAAATTTAAATAAGTGTAAAACACTATATATTTAACACATTTATTAAATACTAACTAGATAATATTTTACTACTTCAATTATCCGGGATAGCTTCCAAGCCCTGTAACAAAAAGTGCAGATTAATAACTATTGATGTTTTCAACATTAAGATGCTTACTATATATATTTTTTTAAAAACATTATATTTTTCTTTATATATACCTAATGTAAATGTAATGGGCACAGTCAAACTCCCTATCATTAAGATGCTCTATTTAAGTTTCCTTAATTCAAATGGTGGTAATCGGGCCTATGATCTGTATAGTCTAAGTGGCAATAGCTAGTCTATCTAGAAGTACACTGGGAATCTTGTTTGGGTGATTCATATTAAATTAGATTACCGGATTTATTTTGTTTTATATCTGATATACGTATATTTTTAAATGTTGTCTCGGTAGCACGAAAGGCTGTCTTCGTGGCCTAAAGGATAAGACGTCCGGTGCAATATCTAGCCATGTAACGATGTTCGAATCCCGCAGGCGTTTACCAATTTTTCTAATGAAATATGTACTTAACAAATGTTCACGATTGACCCCTACGGTGAAGGAATAACATCGTGTAATAAAAATCAAACCCGCAAAATTATAATTTGCATAATTACTGGTGGTAGGACCTTTTGTGAGTCTGCACGGGTAGGTATCACCACTCAGCCTATTTCTGCCGTAATGCGTTTCGGTTTGAAAGGCGGGGTAGCTGGTAACTATACTGAGACTTTAGAACTTATATCTCAAGGTGGGGGGCGCATTTACGTTGTAGATGTCAATGGTCTCCAGTGACCACTTAACACCAGGTAGGCTGTCAGCTTGTCCACCCATCTAAGCAATAAAAAAAATATAAAAAAATATGAGCCGTCAGAGTAAAAGTGGCCTAACCCAGAATTTTTCATATTCGTGCTTATATATCGCAATTTATTTAAAACATAATAAACTTTGTTGCAAGAACGGTTTATCCCTAGTTTCACACATAGATAACAGATGGCTTTGTAAATATTATTTTTGCGTGAATTATTTTTGGCTACGAAGTATGTAAATGCGTATTCATACCCCTTTTACGGTGATGGCCTCATATGCAGGTTATAAATAATAAAAATCGGACTGTCGGCCAATTGAGCAATATCAGCTGCTTTACAGCTGCAATACACCAGGCATCTATCCTTTACCGCACATATTCTTCAAAGATAATGCTTTCTAAACCTCATACTAGAGACAGCATGATGCTGCATATATCCCAGTAACATTTATGAGTCTATTTACCAAACATTTCAATTCTGGATCTTAGTTGAGCAACCTCTACAACACCAATACTATCCAGAGCTGATAAGATGGTGTTGGTGCCATAAATCCGCTAAGCATAAAGATATGAATACTTTAACAATCTATGGATTCAACATGTGGTCACCAGGTCCATTTTATTGTTGAGAGAATAATTTGGAGAATGGCAGTGCACTTCCAACCCTCGTGTAGGTTTAAGATAGTACCAGTACTTAATGCCTAATGTCTACCATAAATGTATATAGTGTTCACTATAATGTATGTTGCATTCATAGTTGATGAGTCAAAATTATTACTGAAGTTGAGTCTTGATACTCTTAAGGCTATTTTTTGTTAAATTATAAACAGTTGCTCATCTGTAAATTATAACCCTACCAAAATATAAATCTAATCTTATTGATCAAACAAAAGTTTAATAATTATTTGAGAATTGAAAAATTTGCTGTATCTAAATTTTACACAGTAGTAGAGAATAAAGTTAAAACAGACATTAACAGTGGCAGACATTAATATAACATAAAATAAAGTTGATATTGTATCATGCATATTATCTATTGTTTTTTTGTTTATATTATTGATGGTACTTGGTTAGCCCACTTAGTTTCTCGCTGGATCTTCTCAATGGGTCGCTTTTCCGATTCGGTGGTAGATTCTACGAAGCACTGCTCTCCCTAGGGCCAGTGCAACACTCCGGTTTGAGCCCCGGAGCTCACTTACATGTTAGGGCGAAGCTGATATAGCCTCTCAAGGCTATCAGCATAGGTAGGGAAAAAAAAGATGGTACTTGATGAATTTGTACCATCCTACTGAGTTTCTACCTCTTAGGCTACCTTCAAATAGATAGGAACAAAAAAGGAATTTATAATAATTGCTTACTTACATTCACTTCATAAGGATTACCAGTAAGCCTCATATCCCTCTGGTACAACGCACGACTCCATCTATCAGTAAGCGAGCGTCTATAATGCTGAAACATGCAAATTTTAATTAAGGAAATAATAATTTGAATATGAACGATATGAGTTGTCATAGCAAAATCCTCATGTAGGGTAGTCGTTATACTTTATGACTGAGAATTAGAAATCTCATCTCAAGGTGGTTGGCGTCATTTACGTTAATTACTATGGGTTACAGTAACCACTTAACACTAGGTGGGCAATGAGCTCATCCGTTCATCTAAGCAATAAAAGGCTGTGTTCATAAAAACAATCGAAAATTTAGAAGATATGCTTAGCAGTAACAAGCTAAAGAATATAACTACTATTGGATTTAATAGAAAGGGAATTATTGTTATTTTTACTAAGACTAATAAAACTTTAATCTGAAGAAATATATTTTTGTATCTATGACAATAAAACTAGTCTGTGGTTTCGTTAAACTGTGATTTCTAGCAAGTGTTATCTAACTGTTTAAATTTTTTGCACTTACATTGCCTAAAGTCAGATTATGTATATGATAAAGACCCCAGCCCGGTAGACCAACAGCAGCAGTTATAATGAAAAAACTCGGAAGAATTTCGTACCACATTATTCTAAATTCTCGTATCCCAAGTTACACAAGTGTTTTCGTTCGGAAAATAACAGTGACAGCAGTGACAAGAAAAACTGATTTGCCAGCCGTCACTTGCAAATTATACCAAATGCCAGACCGAATTGTCAAGACAGCAGATCAGGGTGAGAGGTCATGCCAATTTCATTGAAATGTAATATAGTACTATTTTAATTTAGTACATAATTACCTATATCCTCGGTTTTTTTTAAGCTCTACATTCTGTCTATACATTTAACCGCATTGAGCAAGCCTTTTATTGTATGTGTGGAGAACCACACTCAGCAGCACAGATCAGTAATATTAGGAATTTAGCAGTAGGATGACTCGAAGAATATATTCTTTCTGTTCAATATATTTACCTTACGAATTTTGTCAGTCTCGGTCCAATGTCGGAGCTTAAAAACGTAAAAGACAGAGCTATTTACGTAGGTATTAATAATGTTGATTTTTGCTATGTGACTACTAGCAAACAGATTAAGTGAATTCCAAAAATCTTAAAATTATAACACTTTTGCAACAACGCATCTGATTATACAAAGATTATACTCCAATTAATCTATCTACATGCTGTACGATATTAAAATCCGTGCAGTAGTTCCAGAAATGTGTGCGAAAAAGAGAGAAAATGATTAAAAATAAACGGTGCGCGTGAATGAAGTGAAACTTCTTTTCGACGTGTAGTATTGTGGTTTTTTCATTTTTTATCCTTAAATCAGATTGATCTTGTAATAGGGAATGCTGTGTTTAGGAGATGCGACGTCTTCAACATTTATATTATTGATACTAGCTGGCCCGGCAAACGCTGCTTTACCATATAAATGATTTCTCGGAAAGATAAATAACCTATATACCGACTGCAACGCCATCTGCCGGGCGGATTTGTAAATCTAAACCATTCTCGAATCCTGAAGGTAGACAAAAACATTCATTAAAATCGGTCCAGCCGTTTAGGAGGAGTTCAATCAAGCACACCGTGACACGAGAATTTTCTTAGATTTTATTTTAAATACGCTACTCGTTGCTAACGCTTACGCTAGCCTCTAAGTATAATGTGGGCATGCGTTGGAGTGCCACGCATTCACTCTCGCTGTGTCTCTTTCTATTCCATGGTAGCGTTAAACGTTTAGTAACGCAACCCCTTTGGAAGTCGCATTAGAAGTTTCACTTCAACAATAGCTCATTTACATTCTATAGTATTGCTGGCTGTATTCTTTTATTCAACGTACACACGCCGAGGTAAATTGTATTGTTAAATATATTAATAACGAATATTTTGACCGTTCCACTTCGCCCAAAATTATTCTAACGGCGTTGCATGTTTTGAAAACGCTCCATCTGATCGTATTTATTTCCCTCTCTAAAACCGTTGGGGCCATTTCAACGAGGCGCGGACGTTATAAGTGAGTTCACGAGGCTCAACTTGAGAGAACTAACTAACACTAGCCCTACCAAGAGGAGCAGTGCTGCTTTAGAATCGCCACCCACTGAGAATATTTAGCGATAAACTAAGTGGGCTGTATCTATGGGCTTGGTTGCACCACAACTAAGGTTGAACCACAGCTTAGTATAATAGTTACTTACTACGTAACCTTGAACTCTTGAAAGTCAAGAGTGATGACCGAGGCCGTTTTCCAATTACAGCACAGGAGCGCATTATGCGGCGTAATTGGAAAACTAATACAGAATTACAGAGCATAATGCGACTCAGTGACGCACAATGCCGAAATAAGCTGAAGCTTAATTGAGCATTATGCCGCATAATGCGCTCTTGTGCTGTAATTGGAAAACTACCCGAGGCAAGGTCGTGAAAACTAATAAAGGGCTAAGAGAACTTTTAGTATATATATTATAAATTATGTAACGCTATGTATTCAACCAATATTTTATAAAGTAATGGAATCAAACACTATAATTTTCACCGAAATCGATTACGTTAAACAGAACTCACATTGCCTAGAAAATAATTATGACACCACCACAGTCCCCAACCCGGCAATCCAATTGAAGCTGTAATAATTGCAACTGTTGGTAGTATTTCATACCACATTTTTTTCCAGAAGAATAAATAATACTACAACAAATGATACATATATGTATAATTAACTATTTTATACAAATTAAAGGAGCTGTCAAGAGTGACCAATATTTATTGTCATGTAATATTTTCTTTTTTTTTCTAGTTTAAACCTCCTTAATCTATAAAAAGGTTTATTACCTACAATCGACCTAACAGGAGAGAATCCTATTCGTTCCTTTGTACTGATATTTTTATTTCTTATTTCACGTGTTACTTTGAACTACATTTCTTAGTTTCAGTTTTATTCATTACGATATTAGCTTATTTCCTATTCAGTCATTGATGATGTACGCTAGATAAACTAGATACTATAATTATTGCGGGGTAGGGATTCCGAACTCAAGTGTTCAGTGTTAAATTTCTGGACCAGTCGCAATATTATCAGTTCCAAAAAATTTCGGTATCGTTTATTATTCATGTTTTTAGTCGGAAATAGTAGTAGTAGTACCACCTAGTAGTACTTCCTAATATGTATGAAATAAATACACTATCAACGGTTGCCCGCTCGATACCTACCTTGCCCCGGCTAATTTTATAAAGAGATGTTAATATTTTGCAATGTGCTACAATACATTTTTTGAAACATAGTAAATTGTTTTAATTTTTCATGACTCGCAACATTAGGTATCGGGTCATCAAAAATGGCAGACGTACCGATCGACTGTGATTTCCCCGTTTGGGGATTATTACCAAAAAAAGAAACGGGAGTCGTATCGTTTCTGAATAAATATCCTGTTTACGATGGCAGAGATACGATAATAGCTATTTTCGATTCTGGCGTCGATCCGGCGGCCGAAGGACTTAAGGTAACAATTATGTCTTGTCATGATTTGTTTGGTTGTGGTTTTTTAGTTTTTTTACTATTATTTTTTCAAATTATATTGAATGGCTTTGATGTTTTAGGTGACTAGTACTGGTGAAACGAAGGTCATAGAAAGATTTGACTGCAGCGGATGCGGAGATGTCGACACAAGCAAAACTGTTAAGGCAGTAGATGGGTACATCACTGGTGTTACTGGACGTAAACTAAAGGTAGGAAAAATAGTTTAATACGACCCACGTTTTAATGAAAAATCTAGAAATAAAATGCTATTTTTTTATAATCATCTTTGAACTTCATTGACTTTAGAACTGTCATAAAACAGCTGTTTTTGAATGGACAACTTTAACTTTTAAAATAGAAAAATTTCAATTGACAACACAGAAAAAAAATTATATTATGGGCTATACTTTGCCGTTTATGATAGTTTGAAATCATGAAAAATACATAAACAAGGTTGAAGCAATGAAGATCATATTTGTGCATAATCATCCATACAAGTTTTTGTGTTGTATGACAAATATTAAATTCTAGTTTAGGATGGAAATATTAGATGTATAACAGTAACTAACAGTTTAATTCTTCTCCAAAACGTAATTGTAACTAATAATTTACTTGTTTTACTTCTTTGAAAAATATCAATAATTTCAGATACCAGAAACATGGAACAATCCGAATGGGGATTGGCATGTAGGTGTTCTGCATCCATACAGCATTTACCCGACAAAAGTCAAGGAGAGGATCCAAGAGCACAGAAAAGAGCATCTTTGGAATGTTGGACACAAACCAGCACTGGCAGAGACCACCAAACAATTTCAGGATTATGAAAGTGAGCTTTGTAAGTCATATTTCTTATTAACGACAAATCTTTAAAGGTGCTGTAAGGTGTGACTCAGAAGCCTACGTTTTATTTTATTGCCAGTGTATTGCACAAGCATACAGCCCACTTGATAGTGAGTGGTTACTGTTGCTCATAGACGTCAGCAATACCAGGGGCAAGCCAAAAGCAGCGGCCTACTGTTAAATTTCCGTTTTGTCATATCTCCAGGTACCTATGCACACTACTGATAACTCAGACGGGGAAAGGTAGTTTATTTGGTTTTCTAAAAAAATATACTTCTGGTCCAACATAACTGGTATTAATTACATGTTAACTTACAATCTATATACTGTTTACAGTACAGCACTCCTAGATATGCAATGCCTAACTTTGCCATTATACCATATGATTGTACTGAATATTTATTTAGATGAACCTTCACAAATTTGTGCAGTTACAAATGGCCTTTTCGTCCCTTCCTTACAATCCTTACAAATCGCTCTAGTATGTTTTCTGGGTCTTGTTTTACATTCATGCCATACACAAAATACACTACAGTAATTATTTAATTTTCAGCATCAAAGAGTCCAACATTGACTCAAGAGGAGAAACTAATGAAGGAAGAACTGGAAGCAAGAGTTGAAGTACTTCAAAATGTTGAAAAGAAATACTCTGACCCAGGTCCTACATATGACTGTGTATTATACCACGATGGAGAGACGTGGAGGTTAGTAATTTGTATATTATATTTTTTTGTTTTCACTAGTTGTAGACATAATAAAAACTATTTTTACTTTCATTACATATTTTTCTATGTTTCAAATACTTTACAGTGGTCACGGACAACTAAGATGGTTTTAGATTTTAATGTTGTGCTAACTACTGTTTATTCTTCTACATAATAGGGTATGCAGTGATCATGACACTTGCACCAGTGCTGTAATATTCATTAAATGTAAAAATCGTAATAAGAATCTCCTAAATAATAGTGTTTATAATGTACATAACCACAAAAGTTAACACAATTTGTAAAGCTAAAATTACTAGTTGTACCTTACTTAAAACCACATCACAATCTTTAAATCTATTCAGTTTGACTATTTTAGTCAATATAATTTGTGTGACTACAAATATGCACTGCTTTCCATTTGCTAACTATATAATGTAACAGCTGCATATGGTGCCCTGTTCTTGCCCTACCATCCATATCTGAAGTAGTAGTTACAACACTATTGAGATAGCATAGTAGTTCAAGATCTTTTTAGAAAAAGTACAGACAGTAATGAAATGATAAAATGTTTCAATATGAATACATCTTACATATTTACAGAGCATGCATAGATACATCGGAAAGTGGTGATTTATCAACTGGGCCCAATCTGGGAGAGTACAGTGTAACCCATGAGCACACTCATTTGACACCAATTGACGAGATGACTATAAGCATTAATGTCCACGATGAAGGCAATACACTTGAAGTGGTTGGAATGTGCTGTAAGTCTGGTTTAATCATTCACAGCTTAAAACTTAAGTTTATTTTTATTTTTTATTGCCCTTACAACGAGCATATGGCCTACCTGATAGTAAGTGGTTACCGTCGCCATGGACTGCAGCAATGCCAGGGGCAGAGCCAAGCCGCTGCCTACCGTCCTACCTATTTAAAGCAGCTTACCATATATAAGATGTATGAATCACTTACTGTAATCACTATCTGGATTAATAATCTCTACCAATAGTGAAAGTATAAAACACTGAACTATGTTAAAAATATTCTTAAAATTATCCAATATAACATGCTAATATTGGCTTAAAAGAATGGATTGGTGTATGTGGTCCAACAGTGGATGTCTTCAAGCTAATGAAGATTCAGAACTAATGCATTGTATTGTTCCAAAGTAGGGCAAACTGTGGCTGGCTGGTGTTTGGTAGATGTTTTCAAAAGGAGATAGTCAATTATTCACATGCATCTCTCGACATATAAAACTGACTTTTAAATATACCAATTCCAATTTTAGCTTCTCATGGTACACATGTAGCAGCGATAGCAGCAGGATATGTTCCCGAGGAGCCTGAACGTAATGGAGTATCACCTGGTGCTAAAATCATATCTCTAACAATTGGTGACAGTAGATTAGGTTCCATGGAAACCGGTACAGCCCTCGTTAGAGCGTGTATAAAGGTCATGGAATTATCTAAGAAGATGAAGATAGATGTCATTAATATGAGTTATGGAGAGCATGCCCATTGGTCTAATGCGGGGTATGTTTTAACTTGTGCTATATCTTTAATTTATAAAAACCTGATTGTTGCTGAAAAAATTTAGTTGAATATCATATGAAATGGATGAAATGAACAAAAGAGTGAGCTTGATTTATGTAAGTAATTATTCCCTTTGTGACCCAACCAGGGTTTTTAATTTCTTCTTAGACAGCTAGACAACACGAGTGGCTCACGACCCACCTGGTGTTAAGCGATTATTGCAGCCAATAAACTTTGACAACGAAAATGCCGACACCCCACCTTTAGACATCTAAGCCTCAGAAGCAACAGCTAGAATTTTATTTTTGTTGTTGCTGCGAAAGATAAGAAGTTAAACTGCCTTTGATAAATAAAGAAGCAGATCTTATCTTTTTACGTTTATGTCATTAATGCGAAACTGGCAAGCCTATGGTTCTATTATTTATTATTTGATTATTTAATTTTTATTACTAATTATTATATTATTATTAAATATTTATTATTTCATTCAAACTTATTTTTGCTATCAAAAATAACTCTGAGTGAAAATGTGCAACTTTGATAACAATAAAAAATTCTCATATTTTATTAAAATAATTTATATTTTTTAGTCGAGTGGGTGAAATAATATTGGAAGTAGTGAATCGTTATGGGGTATCGTGGGTTGTGTCAGCTGGAAACCACGGACCGGCTTTATGCACTGTGGGAGCTCCCCCTGATATAGCACAATCTGTACTTATTGGTTTGTATATTTGTCATCTAAATACCATACTTAATTTGTCACGTCTTTATTACTGTTCCTATCACTACGTTGTCGAAAGGTAGTGACGGTATTACGTCGCTTAAAAGCGTTATTGTTCAATTGAACTAAACGTTAAAGTGTGAGTGAGCGACGTCCGCTATGAGGCTATGTTCTCTTGCAAATCCAGCCGCCAAGAGTGACGCATCGGTTTCATATTTCTGTTATATTCAGCCTTTAATTTGTCACATAAGGACTAGTAAATATCTCAACAGCAATAAAGACAGTCCACACTCATTTACCACAACGCAACAGTTATTGATATTGTGTCACTTTTTTTTTTCCTAGCTAATCTGATAGGCTTGAGGCTATTTCAGCGTAAACTTAACTAGTAGGATCGGAAACACGACCCACTGAGAAGATCCGGCCAGAAACTCAGTGGGCATTGTATTGTAGGGCAATGACACCCCGCCCCGCTTAGCTGCTTACTATGCAGTTATAGTAATAAGTAACATACGTTACGTCAGTCAGTGGTTAACGTGCAGTGATCCACCGCGGTCTCTGAATAAACATGTAATTATAAGTAATGTTTTATGGACCGCTCTGGTGAGACTCATGGAGGACAACACGCAACAAACAACCAACGCACACGCCTAATCCGTCATCACCCAATAAACCTCACACTGGTGACCCCGTGTCATTCCCCTACAGTATCATTCTGATGAAGCTTATATACCGCATTTTTCAGGTGTGGGTGCGTACGTATCTCCGGAGATGATGGCGGCGGCGTACTCCATGCGGCAGCGCGTGTGCGGCGGCGCCTTCAGCTGGAGCTCGCGCGGGCCCGCCGCGGACGGAGCCCTGGGGCTCTCCGTGGCCGCTCCAGGAGGTGCCGTCGCGGCAGTCGCCAGGTACCGCGAATACTACCACTATTAATAATACTTATGTTACTACTATTGAAGTCAATGTGGCTAAATGGAAATTCGAGAATTCAGGTGTTCAAATTTTATACTAATATTTCACATTCACGAATTACTTTCGAACATCGTGTAATAAAAATTAACCCATAAATATTATAATTAGTCTACTTATTATACAATTGAGGTATAGACTTCAAGGCTCAAGGTGGGTGGCGGTATTCACTTTGCGATGTCTATGGGCCCCGAAAGAAAACGGCTTAAAACCAAGAGGAACGTGAAGCTAGTCCCCCATAGTAAATATAAAAATAAAACAATAATAATATTATAAACGTAATTTTAGATGAGATTACAATTTAATGACATTAATAGTTTATAAAATTATTCATTGGTTCTGTTTCATATTATTCACAGATCGGTGGTAATAAATATTGACAAATCGAATAGTCTAGAACTCGTTTCTCGAACAAAATTTGGCTATTTATACCTAAATAAGATGATAAGCTGAAGATTTTTGTTTGATCTGTACCTGCCTACCTATCTGTCTCTCGATGAAAGAAAGAAAAAGATAAATGGAAACTAACCTCTTGGTTTTCATCATTTTCTCATCTAACGTTTACGTTATTGTTGTTCTTTCTAGATTCACATTAAGAAACTGTCAACTAATGAACGGCACTTCAATGGCGGCTCCTCATGTTGCTGGGGCTGTAGGTACGATATCACATAAATCATTATCGAAATCATCACGACTTATTATAAATCACAAAATCTTATGACCGATAAATCCCCTTAATTTGTACTTGATTGATAATCTCTGAAGTCACTGCCATCATCTTAGGCAGCGGTTGGCAACGGCTTGGCTCTGCCCCTGGTATTGCTGAAGTCTGTGGGCGACGTTAACCACTCACCATCAGGTGGGCCGTATGTTCGTCCGCCTACAAGGGTAATAACAATAAAAAAACTTGCTTGGGTTCAGTAGGTATAACCGAATCTATCGCTCGTATACTTTGTTTTAGAATATGATTTTACAACTGTATATCTCCAACGGCAACCCTAAAACCAATGCTAAACCAATCATTGAGTGCTAGGTAGAAGGGAAACTATTTTTTTCTAATACGGTGAATAAAAGTTTTGAAGAATGACCAAATTCTGTTATGATGTGTTTCTAGAGATACAATTTATGCAGTTATCCTTTATGTTCACAGCCACACTCATATCTGGTTTGAAGGCAAGGAAGTTACCGTATTCGCCGTATTCTATAAAGAGAGGGCTGGAGAATTCTGCAACCGTACTGAGTCACGTTGAGCCTTGGGCTCAAGGATGCGGCCTTCTTAATGTTGAAAAGGTATGAATAATCATTCAGTGTTTTGTAGTGTAATTAGTGTTTTTGTTTCAATTAGTGGGAGGCTCATTGTCTAGCAAGTCGTTAAGTGGATATGTGAGCTCGAAAATATCAAAAGCAAAGAACCTGGAACTTGATGTGAAAGTCCCCTTAGTGTTATTATAATGGTACGCGCTGAGGCTCGGGATAAATAAAAATTCTACCGGAGTACAACTTACAACTGTATTTATTTATTACACTTTATGTAAAATTTACATTGGCGGACTTAATGCCTAAGGCATTCTCTACCAGTCGACCAAAGGTAGTGCAGAGTAAATAATTTATCATTTAGAACGCTCACCGAAGACTTTAAAATTCTTAACTTCTTCCGCTTCGCTTCAGGTGATCCGTTTGTTGTTGCACTTCGAGTAGCTCCTATTAGTAATTGATTGCGTGCCATCTCTGCAACGCATTTATAGTCGATACGACACCCCTAGAATCGTCGAGAACATTCCTCACAAGTTGAGTACCATCGATGTGTTTCCGCTATCTGATAATAGATGGCGTTGCATTTCTCGAGAGTTCTAGATGCTATTAGATCCTTCGATATTCGTTTAGCTATTCGGCGATGGATGGCGTTACTCTTACCGGCGTAACAATAACATGGCTGTTCTATGTTTGAGGCTTATGTTGGAATAAGGCTACTATACATATAATAGAGGTGACAAAAAACCAGATGTATGTAGAATAGGGATCGCAGCCCATAAAATAAAACATCCAATGTTCCAAAATGTTCTGTTATAATAATAATTTAAAATTAATTAACACTTTTATTATGTACGCCTTGCTCATATCTTAAGCGTCTTCGCCATCTTCCTTTTCTCTGTCATTCTCTGTCAGTCTCTTCGCCCTTTCTTTCCGTTTTCTCTCGCTCACATCTTAACGCTCCGTTCCACACTATTTTCATACGTTCCGTTCTTACCGATCCTACATTTATATAGGTATTTAATATTTATCGCAGGCCTTCGATCTGCTCTCGACGTACTACGATCAGCCCGAACGCGACGTGACATTCAATATACAGTGCTGTTCGTACAACGGCAAAGGAATAATACTGAGACCGAAATTAGACGATCCGCCCGGAGACATCGGCCTCACCGTCGAACCGCACTTCCTGCAGGACCACAAGGATATGGAGGGTGAGTTTCTACATCAACTATTAGAATAACTTATGCCCTTTTAGATATATAAGTATACTGAGACTTTAGAACTTGTATCTCAAGGTGGATGGCGCATTTACGTTGTAAATGTCTCAGGGCTCCAGTAACCACTTAACACCAGGTGTGCTGTGAGCTCGTCCATCCATCTAAGCAATAAAAAACAGGTACAGAATTTAGGTGAACATACAACATGAGACGTATTTGTTGTCCCCAGACCGAGCCGTGATCGGTCGTCAGATCTCGTTCGGCGTCCGCCTGGCGCTGACGTGCGGCGCCAGCTGGGTGTCCGCGCCCGCACACCTCGACATGATGAACGCCACTCGGACCCTCACGCTGCGGGTCCAGACCTCCAGCCTGCCGCCCGGACCGCACTTCGCCAGGTAAGGTTCAACTATGTTCGTAATGTAAATCCAAAAAAATACCACAGGGAATGAATGCCCTGAGGAAATACGGTAGGCAACGGCTTGGCTTTGCCCCTTGCATTGCTAACGTTCATGAGGCACGGTAACCACTTACCATTAGGTGGGCCGTATGTTCGTCTGCCTACAAAGGCTATAAAAAAAGTTCCGTCACGTCACTACTCGACCTATGATACTAGATCTAAGATAAAAAGTTACTAAAATCACTTCCTTGTTCCCAGCATCGACGCATACGACGTATCTTGTATCGAGAAAGGTCCGGTCTTCAGAATACCTGTGACAGTATTTCAACCGCAGCCGCTACCGGACTGTTCTTCGCCGACCGTTATCGACGAGAAGGACGTGCTCTTCAAGTCTTCCACTATTAAGAGACATTTCCTTATAGGTAAATCCTTATTGATATTCAATCTATACTGCTAGTTGGTCATGCCATGTGAGCGAGTTGATTGTAGTTAGGGACACAAAGGTTGAGGATGGTAGCCAATCAAATGGGGCCCTCAAGTGAAGGACATTTTCATCCAAGTTCAGCTCAGTGGTGATTAGTGCTACGGACAGGGACCAATGAAGGCAGATCGTCCAATCTAATTCTAGGTCGTCTAAAGTTCACGATCCTCTGTTATGAGGGACTAATGGCAGAGAATGACACCATATAAGACAAAAGGTTGAGAATGACACCATATGGGACAAAAGGTTGACTGAAGGCTGAATGTGTTCTCAAAATCGAACATCCAAACTGGTTGTAGGACCTATTGTGAGTCCGCGCGGTTAGGTACCACCGCCCCGCTTATTTTTGCCGTGAAACAGTAATGTGTTTCGGTTTGATGGGTGGGGCAGCCGTTGTAACTATACTTAAGATATTAGAACTTATATCTCAAGGTGGGTGGCTCATTTACGTTGTAGATATCTATGGGCTCCAGTAACACTTAACACCAGGTGGGCTGTGAGCTCGTCCACACATCTAGGAAATAAAAAAAAGGTGGGCTGTGAGTTGTGTTCAACCTATCTAAGCAATAAAAAATAAATAAATAAAAAACAAAGATTCTCTTGCTATCCCTAATTTCGGGACTCAGTCTACCCATTACCGTCATTAAAAATATATCGTCTTATTAAAGTACCACCGGAAGCCACATGGGGCGTTTTGAAGATGGCAACAGAAGACAAAGAGATCGTTGGCCGGTTCCTGGTCCACGTCATGCAACTGTTGCCGCGCAAAAGCTGCAAGAGTCAGGAGACGCAGAAGATGCTCAGCGTCAGCAACGAAGTACCCACGCTTTTGCCGTTCGGAGTTGTTGTGAGTGATAGAATTATTGTTCACGTATTACGTTTTGAAATACACAAGTCTCGGATTTAATTTCGAGGTAATGGAAGTAAAGGTTAAATGATTCACTCTGGCTTGTTTTAATAATGGATTAGTAATTTTTAAACCATATACCCATTTAGTCATTCTAAAAAAAATTACATATAAGTTACATTTACTTGGTAAGTATTGTTTTATGATTAATCAACCTATAGAAATGACAAATTAGGATAATGATTACTGAGAGAGCTAAGTTAAATGGTAGTCATGCAAGACCTTACCCATTTATTGAAAAATTTCACACTGTTATAAACCCTAAACTAGTACTATATCATAATCTCCAAATTGGTACTATGGAAATCGAAGAATGCTGCACATCTTTACTGTTCATCACATTAGTGAAGTGGGAATGCAACCCACCACCCTTGGCCTAGCAGTCAGGGCTGCTGGCTACTGCGTCATCAACTCAGTTGCTTTCTAACATACGTTTCAGGGCGGCGTCACAATAGAAATAGCAATAGCAAAATACTGGGCCAACATCGGTGATCTGAGCCTGGACTACACGGTGGAGTTCCACGGTCTGAAGCCGGACTTCGGTCAGCGGCTGGTGATGTCGGCCAGCGAGGGCGTGCGATCCGTCACGCTGTCGGCGCACCGCCTGCTGGAAGTACAGCCCAATGCCGTGCTCAAATACTCTGAGCCGGTGGTCAGGTGAGCCTAATACAGAATATCTAAATTGTCATTTTCTAATCAAATTATTTGAACGTAATGAGTATTAATCTTTTAAGTGGATTTATTCGAAAATACATAAATTCAATTGTAAGTATTGTATATTTTAGTAAAATATGTGATAGTAGTTTTTTTCAATTCTGGAATTTTTAGTTATAGAAATAACTGTGTTAATTCTGTGTAATACGAAACTGGATTTTTTTTTATTGCTTAGATGTGTGGACGAGCTCACAGCCCACCTGGTGTTAAGTGGTTACTGGAGCCCATAAACATCTATAACGTAAATGCGCCACACACCTTGAGATATAGTTCTAAGGTCTCAATATTGTCACAACGGCTACCTCACCCTTCAAACCGAAACGCATTACTGCTTCACGGCAGAAATAGGCGAGGTGGTGGTACCTACCCGTGCGGACTCACAAGAGGTCTTACCACCAGTGGTCTTAATTAAAGAATTTGCAAAATATCTTCTTTTCGAATTTTATTTTCTATTGAAATTATAATAGTTTAATTTTCAAATCACAAAATCAAATCTATAAATTCCGCTTGTGTCACGTCTTTCAGAAACGTCATACATTTTGGCCCCAAATGACGTCACATCTAATGAAGTCCATTTTTATAATGTTTCCGGGGTGACTGCAGAAGTGAGGGCTGCCTATTTACAAAGTATACAATCTATTTCCCTGTTACAGACCCACTGAATCGAAATTGACTCCGTTGACGTCTCGTGACGTCATTCCGCCAAGCAGACAGATCTATCAGCTGATAAACACATACAATTTCCATCTTGCCAAGGCTACTGAGGTAAGTTCTAGTTGTGCCAACATAATGCGTAGTAATGTATCATAAATATATTTTTTATTGCTTAGATGGGTGGACGAGCTCACAGCCCACCTGGTGTTAAGTGGTTACTAGAGCCCATAGATATCTACGACGTAAATGGCGCCACCCACCTTGAGATATAAGTTCTAAGGTCTCAAGTATAGTTACAACGGCTGGCCCATCCTTCCAACCGAAACGAATTACTGCTTCACGGCAGAAATAGGCAGGATAGTGGTGCCTACTCGTGCGGACTTACAAGAGTGTCCTACCAGTAATTACGCAAATTATAATACGGTTTGATTTTTATTACACGACGTTATTCCTTCACCGTGGAAGTCACGACTACTTCAATCCAACTTAAAGCAGATTAATATTGGAACCCGTTGAGATTCTGGGCTTTGACCATTTACGTAGACGAGCTCTACATTCGGCGGCAGATAGGAGCAAATGGCGTAGAATGATCTAGAATAGGTTCTTGTTGCGGGGAGGTGGTCACGACCCTCAGTATTGAGAAACCGAAGCGAGAAGAAGAAAGCTCAGTAAAAGCTATTGCATCGTGAATACAACGAGGTTCTGAATTCCACCCAACCCTGATGAGTAGCTCACGAAAACCAGAACTTCCAGGTGCACAAACCTTAAGCAGGAGGTATCGAGAGGCTACATCAGCGTAACCTTAACTAGTAGGTGAGCTCACGGGGCTCAAATCTGACGACGTTGTTAACACGAACCCTAGCAAGAGCCGTGCTTCGCAGAATCTACCACCGGATCGGAAACGCGACCCACTGAGAAGATCCGGCGAGAAACTCAGTGGGCTGTGTCTGAGAGTTTATTTACTCGTCGAGCTCTTCGTCGCAAGCGACGGGTTCGACGAGAACGATGACCGGTAGGAGGTATCGCTAACATTGGATAACATTGCGAAGGGGAATTGTCTAATGCAGTAATGTTTTGTTGCCAGGTGTCTCCCACGGTGTCGCTGCTGTGCGACATGCTGTACGAGTCGGAGTTCGAGTCGCAGATGTGGATGCTGTACAACAGCTGCAAGCAGCTCATGGCCGTCGGGGACGCTTATCCGTCCAAGGTAACGGGCACAATGCCGTTCGATTCCACATAAAAATATATCATAATCTATGGTGATTTTGAAATTTGCGTGAGCTCCAACTGTCGGATTGGCAAGATGTTGCGGGGTGCCAGTATGAATGGCGACGTATATTGTCGGAGGCCAAGACCCACTTCGGGGTCATAGCGCCAGCGCAGTAGCAGTAGTAGTAATGATTTATTTGAAGCAGATTAGTTAAAACGTGCTTTATATTAATGAATGTAAATTTTCTTTGACGTCTTGTAAATCGAAGAACACAGGTTGCACGCACGAAAAAGTGTCACGTTCCGCCTTAGCCTGAGCGTGCAAGCGAGAGCGCGGAACAACGATCGGCCCAAGCGTTGGCTCGTAACACATGAGTCGTCTATTATCAAAGGTGGCAATCTGTACATTTGGACAAAACATTTTTATTGATATGTCAATACAGATTTATTTGAATATAATCGTCTCCTTCAAAGAATACGGTTCAAAACCTGCATTAAATAAAGGTTAATAGTTAACCTGTTATTTATCTAAGATGTCGTTCCGAAGAGTTTTGTAACTGCCAATGGAATACAAAGTCAATAATTCGTTTTTCTGATTTACCAATCATTGTCCAAAAGTCAGATTGCCGCCTTTGATAATAGTCGACTCACATTTAACTCTCTTCTCGTGTGACGTCAGAGCTAGCAGTTCGATTAGTTGTGCTACTGACGTTATCACGTAAAACTATCGACCTTACAGACAAACGTTTTTTTACAGTATAATGTGAAGTTGGAAAAGGGCGATTACGTGTTGCGTCTGAACGTCCGTCACGAGAACAAGTCGTTGTTGGAGAAGCTGCAGGAGTTGCCCGTGGTGCTGCAGCAGCGGCTCCAACAGCCCATCACCATGGACTCCTACTGCTCCAGGATCCAGGTACCTACTGCTCCTATCCACTTAGTACCTCAATCGATAAATAAAAGACCTAAACTTTTGTATAAAATAAATTTAAAACAAACAAAAGGAATCCGTCCGTAGGGGGACACATCAAAGGGACAACGAAAATGTTATTTATTATTTAATTCCGAGCATTTTCTTAATTATCTACCTTTTAAACCTTCTCTGGACTTCCACAAATAATTCAAGACCAAAGCTAGCCAAATCTAAAACTCGAGACTAACGAATAGCAATTAATTTATATATATATAGATTATGTCAAATCTGGAAGTCTTATTTGTAATTATGTCAGTCAAATCGTCCTTCGAGACGCGACTGCTCACAGCACGCATGCGTGATGCAGGCGCCGGATGATTATAAGTGTCCGTCTCGTCGCAGGCGCTGACGGCCGGCAAGAAGTTCAGCACGGCGTCCCTGCCCAGCGGTAACCTCATGCCCGTCTACTTCACAGCCGTGCCTTCCGACAAGTAAGCTTGTGCTAATACAATATTATCGCTCGTCGCACCCCTGTTTGAACTCAATAGTGATACGAGCTAAGCTTCTGCGGCGTACGTCTGTAATCTATGACAATGGGCTCGTAGGGTTGACTCGCGGGAAAATACAACATACCGAGAAACCAATAATTTTTAACAAAAGAGTGTGTAATCATAATGTTGCATGTTTATTTTTTATTTATTTTTTTATTACACCTTTTGTAAAATTTACGTTGGCACACTTAATGCCTAAGGCATTCTCTGCCAGTCAACCAAAGGTGGTGCAGAGTAAATAGTGGTAGGTGCAATGAAATTTATATTAAATTACAAATACATATTATACAAAAAATATATGTATACATATATACACAAACACATATACATGCATACATACAAATAATAGTTTATACAGCATTCAAAGGAATATATCAATAAATTCACCCAACAAATAACTTCATCAATAAATTCACTACGATTCCGCTCACTTTTCCAACAGCATCCACCAAATCCTTAAATTAAATGTGCACCAGTTAGTAATGTTATTCTAATAAAACATGAAAACAAAATGTATTTCTTTAAATAGGAACTGAATTCATTAAGAATTTGCATAAGCCATAAGAATAATATACTGTACGCAATAAAATTTTCAAAAAGTAATTTAAATTAAAGGTATTTAAAGAATAAATTTTAATAATTGTTTCTTTTGTTAACAAGCCACACAACTTTTTAATTTAGTAATTAATCTTAATTAAAAAAATATTATAGTTCGTCATTTGAATATTCAAAACAATTTTATTAGTTAATTATTTTATGTTATTCTAACTTTTTTCTTTTTCAAAATTTCTTGATTCATAAATTCAAGTCACATCTCACGAGTTTACACCAGACAGACGGCTGGTCGTGAAATTAGCACAAATCCACCCTGCTGTTTCTGCCACGAAGCAGTAATGTGTTCCGGTCTGAATAGTAGCAATGTACTACAGAACTGAGAGTTAGAATTCATGTCTCGAGATGGGTGGTGGCATTTGCGTGGTTCTTTATCCGTTTATTTATTAATTATTATTAAAATTATTATTAGATTTATGGGCTCCGCAATAAATATAATTCTCAAAGCAAATGCCGCCAACCACATCGAGATATGAGGTTGGAGTTTTTTGTTATTGTTTAGGTTGGTGGACGAGCTCATGGCCCACCTGATATTTAGTGGTCATAAGGGCCCATAGACATCTACAACGTAAATAATTCCACCTACCTAGAGACACGAGTTTTAAGGTCTCAGTTTTTACAGGATAACGGCTGCCCCACCCGTCAAACCGAAACGCATTACTGCTTCACGGCACAAATAGGCAGGGTGGTGGTACCTACTGGTGTGTGGACTCACAATACCTCCTACCACCAGTCTCAGGAGTCTTAATTGTATTGGACAACGGCTGCCCCAACCATCAAATCGGAACTGACTACCCTCTCAAAAAACATACCTTTGTTAAGATTCTGATATGGGCAACCACCAGCACATTATTTCTCAACCCGAGACCGTCGAAAGGCTCAAAATGCCCGCTTTTTCATCCTTAAAATGTACGTCTGAGTTCACAAAACGTTTGCGCTTTAACTAACGCCCAGCCTTGTGCCACTATTGAATTCATATCAGTAAACAATCATTAAAGTATCCACACATCGTTTCTTACATTCATTCTTTATTGTGAATTCCTTTAGTTTTAAATATATATATTTTTTAAATTACACAGAGCAAAGATAAAACTTTTTTTTTAAATGTCAAAATGTTTTTTTTTTAATTGTTCTTTTCTTAATATATCAATCAATGGTAAAGTTCATAAAATTGATAAGTAAAAGCACACTTTTGATCTTTGAAAAGTGAAAAAAAAGGTTTTTTTTTTTAAGCATCGTGATTAAATCAAATATTTTTGTGTCGAATTTCAAACTAGGAATGTTTTAATTATAAAATGTATGGTAATGGTATGTATTGGTAAGGTGTATAGATTTATTTTTATTTTGTCAGGTCTATCCAAAGAACGGTTACAAATAGGTACAAAATTTGAAGCATAACTGTTTGCTTTTGTCTTAAAAATTAAGCTAAATCGCTGTATACTTGTTTTGTTTATATTCTTGTTGAATTTGAGTCGCATGTTTTGGAGAAGAGAACAACATTGTTTTTCATTCGATTCATACATTCATTTTATTTTGTTTATAAAATTTAAAGGCTGATATAGTTTCTAAGAATTTTCAACATGGCTCTCAAGATTAGCCTATGCCAAGTTTATAGTAAGTTACCACTGGAGATCGATTGGAGAGGCTTATGTTTAGCAGTGGACATCTCTAGGCTGAGATGATGATGATGACAAGTTTATTTAAAATTGAATGGATCTTAATAATATTAAATTAAAGATATATTTCTGTTAAATAATAATTAAACAGCTTTAGTGACTTATTTAATTGTAAATCAGTTGTGTTGTCTATCTTTTAACGTTTATCTTTATTCAATAGTAACACATCTTTCTATCTAGTCCTTCAGTAAATTCACTCAAATGAAGGATGCTGATTGGAAATATGGAGGGTAGATGTAAGGAGTACCATCTTGCATATAGAACAAGTTGAGAAAGTGTTCAATTTTTTATTTATTGCTTAGATGGGTGGACAAACTCACAGCTGACCCCATAGACAACTACGACGTAAATGCGCCACCCACCTTGAGATATCAGTTCTAAGGTCACAGTGTAGTTCCCACGGTTGCCCCGCCCTTCAAACCGAAACGCATTACTGCTTCACGGGAGAAATAGGTAGGGGGTAGTACCTACCCGTGCAGCTTCACAAGAGGTCTTACCACCTACAAACAGCAAAATGTGGAAATCATATGAATATAGCAGTTTTAAACAGAGTCAAATGTGCTGGATTGAACTGAAGGTCAAGTTTCATACTACAGCGCCACCTTGGTTAGCTACCTTTCAGCGGATACTTTTTAATACCCTGAGATGATGCTCCTTTCTTTTATCCTTCATAATTTAAAAGTAATATAAGCAAACTACAAATTATATACCAAAAGGGATGTTCAGAAAATAAAACAGATAAGAATGGCAGTGGAAAAATATTACATAATGACCATGCCCCCTGTCGAATTAAAAACATCATTGAGTGATTTCATTTGTGACGTAAAATGTAAGATGGCAGCTTCGAGCGCCTTAATACGGTTTTAAAAAAAAAAAGTATTAATACCTACCGAAAGTTTTATGATCGACGTTAAAAGATAAACGAAACGATTATGATCTCGAATATTCGGCAGAGATTTGGAATACCATGGAAATGTCATCTTTACAGAATAAGCCGTTTGAATTTGACCGTCGGTCACACGTTCTCCGGTACGATATCGTTCGCTAAAGACGAGCTCGGTCGGAAAGTGGACACGTACGCGCTTCAGTACTTGGCCTGCGAGCCGCCCAAACGTAACGCCAACTCGAAGGATAAGGAGAAGGGGAAGGCCCACGACGATTATATGGACGCCGTCAAGGAGTTCACGGTTGGCTGGATTGCTAAACTAGGTATGGTATATTGTTTTTTTTTTGTTAAAACAACTAAAGGTTGATTTTATTAGATTTTGAAATTTTTTTTATTGCTTAGTTGGGTGCGGTAGGTAGTGGCTTGGCTCTGCCCCTGGCATCGCTGAAGTCCATGGGCGACGGTAACCACTCACCATCAGGTGGGCCGTATGCTCGTCTACCTACAAGGGCAATAAAAAAAAAAACAAGCTCACAGCCCACCTGGTGTTCAATGGTTACTAGATCCCATAGATATCTACAACGTAAATGCGCCACCCACCTATAAGTTCTAAGGTCTCAAGTATAGCTACAACGGCTGCCCCACCCTTCAAAGCAAAACGCATTACTACTTCACGGCAGAAATAGGCAGGGTGGTGGACTGCGTTAACGGGTCAATTAATTCTGGCGTACTAGGTCATTTGTGGTCACTAGAACGTATAGGTATTTTAATACGAGTGGTATTACCCAAAGATGATTGCACGAATATAACGCGTCCGAAAAGAAAATGTTTTATCAATCTTTATTCCTTAGTTAACGACTTAGTAAAACGACTGGTATTTGTAGTTCATGTTTGTATAAGTTCGTTGTTTTTCAAGATTGATCTTAGTACATCCCGCATGACAGCGTATTAAATTTTACTATAATGTGATTGTGTTAAGTTTGGTTTATTTGTCACATCCAACAGAAGGCGATAAACTAGAACAAGTTTACGAAGAGCTGGTAGAGAAATTTCCGGGTTACTTGGGAGCTCACGTCGCTTACTTGCACGCTATCGATTCGCCCACCGACCCTAAGAAGTGAGTATGCAATGAGCTAAAACTAAAAAAAAAACAAATTAAAATAGCATTTTTTTTTTGTATAAAATTGTGTATAATTAAATTGGCTTAAAAGACAAGAAGTCAGGCCGTTTGATGTGTTAATAAAAAATGTACTTTATATTGCGTACCTTTGATTTCAGATTACCGCATTCAAACGAAGAGCTGGATGTGACGACGGCGTGGTGCGAACAACTCATTGCGATCTCAGATAAGGTGATGACCCCTAACTCCTGCATCTGGATAGCGTTGCTTTATTGAATACTAGCTGACCCGGCAGACTTCGTAGTGCCTCAATTGATAAAATTAAATACACGACAAACAAAAGGAATCCGTCCGACGGGGGACACATCAAAGGAAAAACAAAATTGTTATTTTTATTTAATTCCGAGCATTTTCATATTTATCTACCTTTTAAACCTTCTCTGGACTTCCACAAATAATTCAAGACCAAAATTAGCCAAATCGGTCGAGCCGTTCTCGAGTTTTAGCGAGACTAACGAACAGTAATTCATATTTATACTAGCGACCCGCCCTCGCTTCGCTTCGGAAACATTAAAACACACATGAAACCAAAAAAAAAATAAAAAAAATAATAAAAAAGTAGCCTATGTTCATCAGGGACAATGTCGGCTTCTAATGGAAAAAGATTTTTTCAAATCGGTCCAGTAGTTTCGGAGCCTATTCGAAACAAACAAACAAACAAATCTTTCCTCTTTATAATATTAGTATAGATATATAGATATAGATTAACGTACACATACGAAGGAGGGTAGTTCGTTTAAAATATATTCATTGGTTTTTTTTTTTCAGGTAATAAAGGCAATAGACCAAGAGAAGCTGTTAGCGTATTTAGGAATCAAGAACGATACACGAACCGACGCACAGAAAATTAAACAGTAAGTATAATAATAATTATTATAAATAATAATAAATATTTACTAACAATCACGCCACGTTAACTGGTCCCATGATAAGTTCGTAAAGAACTTGTGTTACAGGTACCGAATAACGGATATAAATGTAAGATTTTTATTATACACATACATATATTTAATATACATCCATAACCCTGGAAAAGACATTTATATTTATCATACAAATATCTTCCCTTGGCGGGATTCGAACCCGTGACCCCCTTGTGTAGTGACCATGTCACTTACCACTACACCAGACGGCCGTAAGTGACTCGGTGTTGATTTTTCTTATTTCTATATACCTTTTTTTTTCTATACCTAATCGCTGGCAGGCTAGAGAGCTATTCCAGCTATTCACTTGAAGTCCATTCGTATTGTCCAAGGACACAATATAATATAAATCCACCTAGAAACACTAGTGTCGGCTGTCTCAACCCTTGAAACTGGAGCGTACTGCTGTTTCGCGACATAAATTTAGAAGTCGTCGTGGCCTAAAGGATAAGACGTCCGGTGCATTCGTATGTAGCGATGCACCGGTGTTCGAATCCCGCTGGCGGGTACCAATTTTTCTAATGAAATACGTACTCAACAAATGTTCACGATTGACTTCCACGGTGAAGGAATAACATCGTGTAGTGAAAACCAAACCCGCAAAATTATAATTTGCGTAATCACTGGTGGTAGGACCTCTTGTGAGTTCGCACGGGTAGTTACCACCACCCCGCCTATTTCCGCCGTGAAGCAGTAATGCGTTTCGGTTCGAAGGGTGGGGTAGCCGTTGTAACTATACTGAGACCTTCGAACTTATATCTCGAGGTGGGTGGCGCATTTACGTTGTAGATGTCTATGGGCTCCAGTAACCACTTAACACCAGGTGGGCTGTGAGCTCGTCCATCCATCTAAGCAATAAAAAAATAATAAGAAGAATGGTGGTACCTACGGTTGAATTAAGAGGATTTGTAAGACATCCTACCAGATGCCAGTCAATATTAGTTAGCGATCTTAGTACGCTTGGTCGCTTTGTGCAACGTCCGCTGGATACAGAGGGCTTGCAAAATCGACATTAAATAAGCACCTTTATTGTCAATACCATAAGGCACAGTCTCCTCTTAAAAAGCAAACTTATTACCAAACTATTAAATATGACGGACGTTTTTAAAATGATGACGTCAGTGTCGCTGACATCATTCTCAAGTGTACAACAATAACTACAGAGAGCTCCACACCGTTTGGTTGCTGGGTTCAGAATGTGTTGACAAAAGTAGTTCATATTTATAGTAGAACAGTGGGGGTAGTTTGGTCCTGAATTTTCCTAAATACTGGTGGTTGTGGTGGTTTACTGGTGGTAGGACCTCTTGTGAGTCCGCACGGGTTGGTACCACTACCCTGCCTATTTCTGCTGTGAAGCAGTAATGCGTTTCGGTTTGAAAGTAGGGGCAGCCGTTCTACTTTAAAAACTGAGACATAACTCATATCTCAAGGTGGGTGGCAGGACTTACGCTGTAGATGTCTATGGGCTCCGGTAAAAAAAAAAGACTTAAACAATTGTTGACATGCGTCGGACTTAAAACCGTTAACCAACAATTATAACATTGAAGAAACAATTAACTTTAACTAATCTTAGTTAAGTAATTTTTTTTTTTAATTTTTTTTATTGGTTATATGGGTGGAAGGGCTCACAGCCCACCTGGTGTTAAGTGGTTACTGGAGCTCATAAACATCTACAACGTAAATGCGCCACCCACCTTGAGGGCAGGGTCGCCCCGATAAATATTATTTGTCTTAACAAGTAGGTACCGTTCGCAGAGAGTTTTTATTACTTTGACTTTTTGTCTTTAGGGATCAAGAGAAACAACGCGGCTATTTAATAGACGCGCTCTGCAGGAAGGGCACGGCGCTCTGCCGACTGTACGCGCTGGCCGAAAGCAAATCGGCCAAGGAGAAGATCGCGACAGCGCTCCAAGCGAACATGACCGACCTCCTCAAGTACACCGATCTCACTGAAGCCAAAGTGAGTCGCTCATCCAGTATTGGACTTGCATTGGACAAGGGTTGAACAAGGATATCGCCACCGGAGCAGAGTTCATCTATACTACCTGGAGTCACTGCGTTCAACCAGAGATCTTTTCTGCCACGTACCATCCGGCTTTGGAATGAGCTCCCCTCCACGGTGTTTTCCGAGCGCTATTACATGTCCTTCTTCAAATGAGGAGAGTACTTAATGGTAGACAGCGGCTTGGCTCTGCCCCTGGCATTGCTGAAGTACAGGCGACGGTAACCGCTCACCATCAGGTGGGCCGTATGCTCGTCTGTCTACAAGGGAAATAACTAAAAAACGGACGATATACATTATTTCAGTTTACATAACGTGAATCACGTTGCATTTTACACATGTAGTGGAAGTCTTATTTGCAGATCGATGATTCCTTTCAAATTGCTAGGATTTTCCACGCGAACAAATTTGCAATACATCCTATAATTTTTTAAATGGTGGGAGAGGATCAGCAGTCAATTATAAGTCGATTAAACTAAACGTAATGTTTTTGAAGCTAAACTTCTTTAGGCGCGTTGAAAGTAAAATTTAATTCGCGACAGATTCGTTACGGCTAGAGAGAAAAGATACAATTTAGGAAGAGCGAGAGTGAGAAAACAAACAAAGCATCTCGCGAACCATGCGACCGTGGAGTGGGAAAGGACAAAGGGAGCTAGGTCGTTTCTCTTATACACATTCTGTGTACGGGCGTCGGCTGATAGATGGCTTGTTATTAGTTTCGCATTGCTCCTGTAGATGGCAGTAACATATTAACTATCTTAAATTTATTATACACGGCATTTCCTATTACAAGAGAAATTGGGTTTAAGGACGAAAAATGAAGAAAACCACAATACTATACACCGCAAAAGAAGTTTCACTTCTTTCACGTGTATCAAGTTGCACGCGCACCATATTTTTTATATTAGTTCTCTGATCAATTACAAGTACGCTTCCTTACTTTACCCATCTTGACTGCAACATACACAAACATTCTCTATACACATCTATAATAGCTCGGGCCTATTTCAATTATTAAAATTTCATTTCATTAATAATACAAAAAAAATCGTCTCTAGGCAATCAACTACGGCGTCTGGCATTGCTTCACGTTCAAACACTGGGGCCGAGCGATTAAGCTCCTCACGAAGATCCAAGAGGACCGTCCCTCCAGGGAAGTCGAGGAGCGTCTAATAGAAGCGTACCGGCAGCTGGGCTGGAACCACATGGCCAGTTACACGGAGGCCACGCTGCCTATTAAATATCCACTAGCGTATCGACCTTTTTAGGAGAAGACCGGAAAACTCGGTAGGTTAGTTCGTGTTCTGTTACCAGATTACTCAAATCAGATAGAACTGGCTAGAACCAGATTTTACAAATAAATATTGCACTTGTACTGGAAGAATAATTTCGTCGATTGTTTGTCAGATTTCATTGAAACTATCTTTGCAGGGAAGTTTCCAGAATTTTCCAGATCTTTTGTCTTACTTTCTTTCTACTTATTTTCTGAAATTTCTAGACACTATGAGCGATACATGTTCAAGAATAATCAAGGCTACTTTCCTGTTAGCACTGCATCGCTGACATGCTTTTAATACCTCTATTGTCTCATAGTACACGTAATGCCATCTATTGATTTAGTTTAGAACTAAACAGGAAACTACGCTAACTAAGCTTCTATACATAATTTAGGCTATTTAGTCAATAATTTGTTTGTCCTTAAGAACACGGGCTGATCTATATAGGTATTAAAAAAAAAAAACAATCTTAAGATGAAATTGTAAAAATGTTTTAGTTAATTATCGATTTTTGTATGATCTGTGTTTTTATAGTGAGAGTTACAAAGACTCGTTTCAATTTTAGCTTAAGTTCTCCAATATAAATGCAAACGTTCGATGTTTTATTTTTATTTTATTGTAATATTCATCGAAAAGTTAAGTGATACAACATAAAGCTTGTTACATACAATAGAAAGTAAAACAGTTATACGTTTTAATTTATACATATTTTTATATGTATATATATATTATTTCACTACACAGGGAGGATGAAAAATCGTTATTCAAAGATTAATTTTTCTGCAACACTTATAACATTTCATTTTAATTAAATTACGTTATTTCACTCTGATTTCATTTGTCAACAAAACGTGCATACATGTCCTTACCATGTGACACATGGAACATATTTCCATAGATAAAAATTTAGTTTTAATAAATTTGACATTCTGACGCGAATCTATGTGTTTGTTTAATAGAATAGAAGATTATGAACACAGCTGATAAACGAAATCAAAATTTAAATCTGTTAAGGTATTAGTAAATTATAGTCATTAAAGTTGTTAATGACATGCTAGCGAGAAAGCGCACTATTTTATAGTTAAATACACTATTTTATATATAATGACGTCAACGTTCAAAAGCGACCATTCGTGTTGCGAAAAGGGATACAGCACCCTCTTATATCTCGGAAAACTATTAGCAAATTTAATGTTTCTCACTGAGTAATTTGGTTTTAGAAAATATTGAAGTCCTCTATTTATATCTGATGCTTGCTTCTGGTTACTGCTTATATTTTATCAAATCATTTTCCGTGATTAAACTAAAACTTTTGTGAAAAACACAAATCGAATCGACAGAAACATGAAGCATAAGCGTATTTCCACTGTGGCTTGTGTCCACTACCAAATTAATTTGAGAAGCAAGCAAATGACATTGACAGTTGAAAAAAAATGACACCTGTCAGGTTTTCCTGAATGAAATGTTTTTAGATTTAACGATCAATGTGACGTTGCCAAAATCTGTTTTTTTTTTACTTTTATAGAGAAGGAATCGTTCGTGTTTTTAATGTTATAGTGGATCCACGCTGTTAACGTGGATATTAGCTAGTCGATTTTACCTTAAAAGACTGTTAAATCGGCAGAAATTTAAATCGTTCGAACAGTTGGCTACTGTAAAATTTTATTGGTTCAATTAATTTTTCAAAATCGATCCGGCTACCCTAAACCTGTCACTAGGTAGTAAGTAGTCAAGTTTGACATCCATCGATGGTGATGTCTTCGTTAGGCATCGTCCATTGCGTGTTCATGAAATCACTAAATCTATAAGTGTTTTATGCTTAGGATGTGAATGTTTATCTCCGTTGCGCTAATGTTGTAAATTAGTGTAATTTTGCTGTGAAGTATAGAGTAAATAAGCATTTATTACCAAGATGATTTTTTATTTATGACGAATTTAGTAACATTTCACTGCCTCTTAGCAGAATTATTTTATTTGATGACGATACATAAATAATATTATAATAATTGATTTGACTTCTCAATACATTTTATGTCTTAATAATAAAAGTTTAAATTCTATAATAATATGTGTATTAAATATTATAATTATACTTTGTAAATGTGCTCTAGAAAAACGATTCAAAATTGAGCTTACATAAACAAAAACCTGTGAGTTTAAAGGTATCACGTGAGCTCACCATTGGCAGTTCGTTATATGTTGCTGTTGACAATGTCAATTGTCTTGACTGAAGTTTCCGTTTATCGCTAATTATCGCAAGAGCACTACGTAGAAACGACATGATTGATGAATACATTTGTGAAGGTATTGCTATTACCGTTCGCATGACTGCTTCGTGTTTCCGAATGTATTAATAAAAATCGATAGATAAACTAATATTTCTATACAATTATGAATTTATTAAATACATTAAAAAAAATAGTTGTTTTTTTATTTATTTTGTTGATTGTTTTATAATCGGTACAAATTATTAATGTTGTATCGTTCAAGGATTTTCGCACTAACAAAAATTTGCACTACTGCTTAATTTCCATTGGGCTCCGGTAACCACTTAATACCAGGTGGGCTGTGAGCTCGTACACCCATCTATGCAATACAAAAAGAAAATTGCATCTTACTGTTATAAATTTTCATTAATACTTTTCTAACCTCTCCATTGCATCTTACTGCATTGGGAAGTTTAGGTACTGGAAGCTTCGTGATTAAGTAGAGTTGATATCTAACGCAAACTTTGTATAGTAAAGTAAAGATACACTTCATATTTTGGTTTATGTTTGAATTGTAAATGGCTTTTAACCGCTTTCAGCTTGTGTGTTGCAGCAATAAAAAATGTAAGGGACTAATTAGGCTTTATTGGTGGTAAGGATAATTGAAAGCTCGTTCGAGTATGTTGCATTATCCTGCATATATCTGCTGCGAAGCGGTCATGACGATATATCGATCGCCCAAACGATGTGCAGACCAAACAACGTCCCTCACTGGTATCTTGTCAAACAAAATCTGGCACTGGTTTCTTACCAGTACAGTACTATTCAGTATTTTAATGCCTCGGGTATCTAAGGCATAATTTAATGCCTCGGGTATCTAAGGCATAATTTAATGCCTCGGGTATCTAAGGCATAATTTAATGCCTCGGGTATCTAAGGCATAATTTAATGCCTCGGGTATCTGAGGCATAATTTAATGCCTCGGGTATCTAAGGCATAATTTAATGCCTCGGGTATCTAAGGCATAATTTAATGCCCCGGGTATCTAAGGCCCTAATTTAATGCCTCAAGTATCTAAGGCATTTAAATACGTTAAGGGTAGAAAGATCTGGAAACGCTTCCGGGAGAATTCTGTCTAACGCGACTTTCAACAATAAAGATTGTTAACAAAGAAGAAAAAGATCGAACTGTTAAGGACCTACGGCTAATTTGGTTAAAAAAACCTTATTGAAATTGTTTAGGACAACTAGCCTAACTGTGTTATGAAGAGTACTCAGGTAGCGAAAGAGTACCAAGCAAACCAGAAGGAGTGCAACGTGTATGTACAAATAACGATATTAATTATTCCTTATAGATACATAATTATGAAAAACTGATAGTATATTTAGCAATACATTTGATATGGAATATAATTGCAAGCTTTCATAATATTATATCGTTCAAAGCCGAGACAATAAGCACTCTCTCCACCCTCCGGAATGAATTCGTTAAATATTTTATATGGAAACGTATTCAATAATTAAAGCTACGTCAGGATCTTATACATACAGTATGATGATTCATATTGCATGAGGTTAATGCGGGTGGGTGGTTTCAATGAAAGGAAACGTCACAATGTCGTTTATTTTTAAATTTTAGTAGAAGCAAGAATACAGTAGATGATGATACAGTAGATTTTTTTTGATAACGCCATCTTGTTGTGTCTTTAAAGCGGTTAGTTGCCCTCAATTAAGAAAAATAGTATTATTATTCGCCAATAGATGTCGGGAAGAGTTGATTACTGAAAACACGAATAAAACAACGTTTTCTGAAAATAAATCGTAGCTAGATCGATTTATCGCCCCCGAAATCCCCTGTATACTAAATTTTATGAAAATCGTTGGAGCCGTTTCCGAGATTCAGATTATAATATATTAATATACAAGAATTGCTCGTTTAAATGTATAAGATTTAGAAAATTTTAGAAAATGCTTTTAAATGTAGGCTATGTTCGAAAACCGTTCGAAAAAGGGTTTCACATTGTTCGTGTTTTGAGATACTGTTTTATTACATGCTTCAAACTGGCTCTCAAATACTGAATTGTAAATTGACATATTTATTAAAAAGTTAGATACGCTATTATCGTGGTTCATGAACAGAAATACCAATTCCCAGGGAACATATAGTTTGGTGTGATTCAGAGGCTCCAAATTATTATTATATAGGTATATACATTTTTTTTTCTTGTAGGCGTACGATCATACGGCCCACCTGATGGTGAGTGGTTACCGTCGCCATGGACTTCAGCAATTCCCGGGGCAGTGCCAAGCCGCTGCCTACCGGGAAAAACATTCGGGAACCAAGACTATCCGAATAATAATTGAAGTATTTTGGAGCCTCAGCCCAGAGAAGGTTCTGCGGTTCGGTATATTGTCAATTAGTCTATAATTTGTCCTGACTTACATTTACCAAGCAAATTTGGTATATTAATCTTGGTATTGACTATCGTACCTGGGTTTGGGGGCGGGAACAAAGTTTCAATGCGGTCCACACACGCTTTATACTTTTCTTGATAATGACCACTTATTTTTAAAAAAACACGTTTCTTTCTCTCTAACAATGTTTAAGCTTTCTGTAACACTTTAATAATTCTCGGAATTCGTTGGAAGGGTACACCAAAGGTGATCCTTGAAAGAAATTAAATTTATTAGGTCAAGATCAGTTCAAGGCAATCAATGTTTTCTTTGGTTCAATTTCAGGTTACTGTTGAGCATGAATGTTTGAGATACCTAATTGAAAATGAAAATGCTTGCTTTTTACTCAAA